TGTGTGAGAGGGATTCCCTTTCCCTTCCCTTCAACTCATTTTCAATTCCCTTTCCCTTCATTTCCCTCAGAGGGAAAGGGAAATTGAAGGGAATCCCTTCATGAAGGGATTCCCTCTTGCAAGTCTACTTTAAGGTGAATTATTTCACAAACAAGTGAAATAATTATTGAAATAGATTTTTAGAATTAAATTCCCGGTATTGTTTTATTACTTGTATCTTTACAAATACAGTACTATTACAATACAAATACAATACTGTACATTAATGTATATTACAGTATATTAACGGTGCCCAGAATTTACTCCTCACTACTCCCAGCATAAAACCCTTGTGTTTAATTTATACACTATTCATATGTTACTCACATATAGTGTACTCTAATATAATGAATATTTGAAAAAACTCCTTGGTGATTCAATAACCACGTCATGTTTATAATATCCCCTATTTCAACCTGAACGCTTTTACAGTATATATTATGTATATATGTATTACTTTACTTTGATAATAATATTTTGAATTATAATGAATAAATATATTTCAAGGATTGTTAGTGAATATCATAATACATGTAGTTATATAAGTTTTGACTTTTGATTCAATAATCAAATCATTTTCTAATCAATAAGTGCAATAAATAAAATTTAACTTTATTTTTTAGTTTGAAATAAGAATTAGTTTGAAATATCAATACTTGAAAATTAGCATGATTAATATTCCCAGTGATAATCAAAATTCATATTACATTTTTATCAATTTATTATGAATTGATTTAAATAACGTTATCCTATTTTATCCAAAAAACAACATTTTTGTTAAACAAATCAATTTTAGAGAAAATATTATTTATAAAAATTGATATATAAATATATAAAAATTTATAAAATAAAAATTTAAAAAAATATTAAGATTAGTTCCCGATATACAGTACTACATATTGTATATTTACATACTGTATATTTAACGGTATATCATGTAAAATATTCTTTCATTAGCCATTAAGGAGTGGAAATAAATATGAAATTTCAAATCATATCAATTACTTTATTAATATATTGCGTAAAATGTGAGCAGAATTTACAACTCGTTTGGAGCGAAGAATTCAATGGCAATGAAGTGGATGCAAACGTATGGGAAGTGGAGGATGAATGGCAATCAGGCAATTGCTATGGTTTGTAATTGTAATCATTACTTACAGTACTTTATAATACTTTATGCCTTTAGGAGTATTTATTTTTAATAATTTTTCACTTTAATAATAGTATTTATTTTGTGTGTCTGTAATGGCAGGCAATTTCATCGGCCAATTGAATTGCAATGTAAACCAAAGTAAAAATTTACGGCTAATAGAGGGCTGTCTGGCCATAACAGCCTTTCGGGAAAAGCAAAAAGTTTTTGATAAAGAGTACACATCGGCCAAAATCAAGACCAAAATGGGCTGGACTTACGGGCGCTTTGAGATTAGGGCCGCTCTACCGGTGGGCAAAATGTTGAGACCAGTAATGGCTATGGAGTCGGTATCACCCAAACAGTGGGCCACCGCCGGTCAGATCGACATAATGTCTAACATACAAACTCAAGCACTTGTATCCGGTGTGCACTTCAGCGCATCGCCGCCCGTATATTACGGTCAAACTTATGGCTTAACCCCCGAAACACGTGTCAATCAATTTCATACATACGCTGTCGAGTGGAGTGAACGACAAATGAGTTGGTTTTTTGATGGCATGAGATATTTCACGTTTCATTTAAACCACACATTATCTCCACATTACGTCCGAAAGGGTGAGCCGTTTGTGGGAAAGCCGTTCAAACTATTGATAAATTTAGGCGTCGGCGGACTCCTATTCCCCAATCAATTGCTCGACATTAATGACACCAACGACTGGAAGTGCTCTGCGATTATTATAGATTACGTTAGAGTCTATCAAATGGTTAACAATAATCACTCAATTAAAGAGACATTCAATACAGGAGAGGACCTGACGTCAAGTGCCGCAGATATTTGCCCGACTGTTATGTCAGATACAAGTATAAGTCGAGATAATCCGTGCAATTTAGATATATTTGCAATTATTATAATTATTAGTTCATTATTAATTGTTGTATAAATATATTTTTATTATTAATTATTTGTACACTACTGTCCTTGCAGTGTATATTATTTTTAAAACCGGATTAATTTTACAAAATTACAAATATTTCACTTAATAATAATTAGATTTATTATAACAAACTTTTTTGGTTATTATTTTCTGCATACAATATAAAAATAATCCATCAATATACATATTTTTCAAATAATATTGTAATTAATATTTACATATAGTGAAATGTACTGCAAATAAATACAGTAAATACAATATAAGTTATACAGTATTTATTTGATGTGATTTATTAATTAGATTATAACAATTATAACAATTATTCATTAAGATTGGATTTTATATCTCCATTATCCTCCTTTATCATCGCAGAGGCGTATTCGGCAATCATAACGGCTAAGGCGTTGCCCTGTTCTGTGGGCACCGGTATTATACTGGTGTCCACTACACGGAGTCGGGACACACCAAACACCCGGAGCCTCTCATCGACCACAGCGTTCGGGTCTCCGACAACACCGATCCTATTGCCGCCCATTGGGGACACCGGAGCCGCCAATTGTTCTGTAATACACGTGAGATACGAGTCGCAGAAATAGGTATCACTACAGGGCGTACAGCCGGGTATGGGTTTGGCGTACGGCTCGATGAACTGTTTCATATATGGGGTGGTATAAGTGTTGATGGTCGTTTTGAACACTTTGACCAAGTCTTTGAGATCCTGGGGGTCGCAAAATATACAGGGATCAATTAGTGGCGTGTCAAATGGATTTGAGCTAGCTAATTTTATGCGTCCAGTTGCCTTAGGCCGCCGGAGCACCGGAGGGCACGCGATAAAAGACCGGTTCAAATATGGCCGATAGTATTCACGCCAATCGTCCTTGTTTTTGTAGGGCTGAACCAACTTTTCCAGATCCCCTTCCAATACGTCCGTACGGGGTAGAGCGCACCCTTGGGTCACATCGGGAAAACCGGGTAGTGAATGCTCCGGGTAACAGGTGAGCGCCGAGCCCTTGTAGGCCAGGGGCCCACTATTGTGTATGATATAGTTGTAAAAGTTTTCAAAATTCTCCACAGGTTTCTGAATCAGTGACTGGTTTTTAATGTCAAACCTAAGCCACACACCAATGGTTGACACGGCGTTGTGGCCTACTTTTAGATCCGACACAACCTTAATGTTGTGCTCCTGAAGATGGTCTTTGGGTCCGATGCCCGACAGCATCAGGATTTTAGGGCTGCCGACGGCACCGGCGCTGACAATAACCTCTCCGTTTGCGTACACTTTATGATAGTTTCCGTAGCGGAAGAACTCAACACCGATGGCCTGTTTGCGGTGATTAATGAGCACTCGAGTGACCTGAGCGTCGCCCAGAGTGTGAAGATTATCCTTCGGGAGCTTTTCCAGATATGACACGGCCGACGATTGGCGGACACCATTCATCACCGTCTGGCGAAGCATGGTCGTGCCGAACGGCTTGAAACCATCAGGGTCGTTGATGGGGTAGCCCAACATTTGCATATTCTTGAAGTATCGGCCCAGTATAACGTCGGGCGCTATGGTGTTGATAGACTGGGGGCCACCCATGTTGTACAGCTCCGGATAGTTGGCCACTAAACGAAAATCCAGATTGTTTTCCGATTTGGAGAAATACGGGAACACATGGTTATGGGTCCAAGTTTTAACCCTGGTCAGGTTTTCCCATATTTTGAAGTAGCTGTGAGTTTCACGGTAGTAATTCATCGAGTTTATTGATGACGACCCGCCAAATACTTTACCCCTGATCAGTATTTCCTTCTGGCCTATTATTGCTTTGTGTGCGTGCGGTTGGAAAACTGTCGGGTATTTCCAGTCCATTGATGAGCCAAACATAGTCTTCTGTAGCGCTATATTTAATTAAAGCGATTTTATTATAAAAATTATTTGTAATTTATTAATTTTGCTCTTAATTAAATTAATATGATATAAATTAAAATATAAACATGTATATCATTAATGTGAATACCGGGCACATCGCTGGCCAAGTCCTGAGCCCCTCCGGCCTCTATCAGGAGTACAGTTTTGTTGGTGTCTTCGGCCAGTCGTGAAGCGACAACACATCCGGAACTGCCGGCGCCGACCACTATGTAGTCGTACCGTTCATTCCATGTCTGCCGTTGAATGAGTGAATTGTGGTGTAATTGTCTCTCCTTTAAAATGACTAACATAAGTAGAATCGAGGCGTAAGTGATCATGGTTGTGATTTACTATATGCTCTCATTAGTATATCACATGTTTATATGTTATAACTTATATTGACGCATAATTTGTATTTATTTGGGCGAAAACAAGCATACAATGCATATTAAAAACTTCTGTTTACTTAAATTTATGAATGATTTATTAATTATACTTTTTGTATAACTTTTAAAATGAATTTTATTGTCGTTTTACATTAAAACAATTTACAAATTAATTATTATAATTATGATGATAAAATATGGTGATTGCACTGCAGTATCTTAATAATTACAAAACAGTCAAAATATGTTTTTAAATATAAATTTCATGTTTATTAATAAAACTTTATAAAAATTTGTAAATTTTTAATGTAATCATATAATCTTATAATCTATTCATAATTTTCATGTCAGTTAGATTTTAATTTTTCTTATGAAATATATATATATTTAAAAAAACATTAATATTAACTACATATACTAACTGTATTATATTTTAACCATGTACAATTTACTTATGTACGTTTGTAGTTGTTGGCCAAACGCAACATAGCAAATAAAATTAACACTTTAAGAATATACTTTTGTTTCACATTTATAAATTAATTTGTAATAAATGAATATTTTGGCTAATACAATATAATTAAATTAATAGTTTTTTTACAATACAATACAAACAACATAAAAATACTAAATTAATAAGAACTCAATTTATATTTAATAATAACTTGCTTTATATACTATTGACTTAAAATGTCTATAATATTTAATTATATTTAATAACGATTTTTCATATACAGTATCTAGTTACTAAAATCATTAAATAAAAATATGGTCTTTATTTATTACAATGTATCAAGGTCTGTATTTCGTATCTCCATTATCCTCCTTAATCATCGCAGAGGCGTATTCGGCAATCATAACGGCTATGGCGTTGGCCTCATCGGTGGACACCGGCATTATACTCGTGTCCACTACACGGAGTCGCGACACACCAAACACACGGAGCCTCTCATCAATCACAGCGTTCGGGTCGCCGGCAATGCCTATACGATTGCCGCCCAATGGGCCGATAGGATTGGTCACGTGCTCTGCGATACACGTGAGATACGGGTCGCAGAAATAGTTATCAGTACAGGGCGTACAGTCGGGTATGGGTTTGGCGTACGGCTCGATGAACTGTTTCATATATGGGGTGGTATATGAGTTGATGGTTGTTTTGAACACTTTGACTATGTCTTTGAGGTCTTGGGGGTCGCAAAATGTGCACGAATCGATTAGAGGCGTGTCAAGTGGATTTGAGCTAGCTAGTTTTATGCGTCCAGTTGCCTTAGGCCGCCGCAACATTGTAAAACACGCGATGTAAGACCGGTTCAAATATGGCCGATAGTATTCACGCCACGCGTCTTTGTCCTTGTATTGCGTGACCAACTTTTCCAGATCCACTCCCAATACGTCCGTACGGGGTAGAGCGCACCCTTGGGTCACATCGGTATAACCGGGTAGCGGATGCTCCGGGTAACAGGTGAGCGCCGAGCCCTTGTAGGCCAACGGCCCTCTATTATGTATAAAATAGTTGTAAAAGTTTTCAAAACTCTCCACCGGTTTCTGCATCAGTGACTGGTTTTTGATATCAAACTTTAACTCAAAGCCAATCGGGCCAATCAGGTTGTGACCCACTTTCAGATCCGACACAACCTTAATGTTGTGCTCCTGGAGATGGTCTTTGGGTCCGATGCCCGACAGCATCAGGATTTTAGGGCTGCCGACGGCACCGGCGCTGACAATAACTTCTCCGTTTGCGTACACTCTATGATTGGCTCCGTTGCGGACGAACTCAACACCGATGGCTTCTTTACGGCTATTGATGAGCACTTTAGTGACCAGAGCGTCGCCCAGAGTGTGCAGATTGGCTTTCGGGCGTTTTTCAATGTAGGACACGGACGATGACTGGCGGACACCGTTCATCACCGCCCGGCGCATCATGGTCGTGCCGAACGGCTTTGAGCCATCCGGGTCGTTGACCTGGTAGCCCATCATTTGCATATTTTTAAAATATCGGCCCAGTATAGCATCGGGCGCTATGGTGTTGATAGACTGGGGGCCACCCATGTTGTACAGCTCCGGATAGTCGGCCACTAAACGGAAATCCAGATTGTTTTCCGATTTGGAAAAATACGGGAACACTCTGTCGTGCGTCCAGTTTTTGATGCCAGTCTTGTCGCCCCATGTCTTGAAGTAGGAGTGAGTTTCGCGGTAGTAATTCATCGTGTTTATCGATGACGACCCCCCGAATACTTTACCCCTGGATATTATAGGCCTCTGACCCTCTAAGGCCTTGTGGGCGTGCGGTTGGGGCACTGTCTGGTATTTCCAGTCTAGTTTCGAGCCGTACAGTAGCCTCTGAAGCCCTAGATTTAATTAAAGTGATTGTATTATTAAAATTATTTACAAATTAATTAATTAAATCTAATAGGATACAAATTAAAATATAAACATGATTATTATTAATGTGATTACCGGGCACATCGCTGGCCAGATCCTGAGCCCCGCCGGCCTCTATTAAAAGTACGGTTTTGTTGGTGTCTTCGGCCAGTCGTGAGGCGACAACACATCCGGAACTGCCGGCGCCGACCACTATGTAGTCGTACCGTTCATTCCATGTCTGCCGTTGAATGAGTGAGTTGTGGTGTAATTGTCTCTCCTTTAGGATAACAATCATAAGCAAAATGGAGGCGTAAGTGATCATGGTGGTTGTGATTTACTATATGCCCATATTTATTATTAGATGTTATTAAAAATGGTATTACATATGATGTCATATGATTAAAAACTAATTAATTATTACACATATCCTAATTAAAAGGGCGAATATGTTTTTTGGTATACATTTATTAAATTTCATTTTGTTTATTAATAAACTTTATATTGATTTTAAAATATCTGATGTATGTTTAAGTAATTATAATAATACTTTTGGTGACTAGATTTGAATATAAATTGTTAAATATAGATCACGATAAAAATAATTTTTCCGGAAATGAGGCCTAATTTTGTGAGTGTTATGTTGTGGAAACAAAATTGCATATTTGCATAACTACAATTTTAAAATAATTATCAAAATACAACCAAGTGCATATATTATGTTTTTTTAATGTGTTACATAAATTAGTTTCAAATTATAAGTACTTAAATGCACTTTACTTTTTTGCACTGTAACTATTATATAATCATGGTAAGTTTAGTTGTCCTTTTAAGCGTACTCACTTGTCAGTAATGTACTGTAGTTGTAAAATGTATCGTATAATCTATTTAGGGTAACATTTGTTTCTTAAGATTTGTGAGAAATAACATGTTTGAATAATACAGTATAAGAATTATTTCAGTTGTTTTTTACTCAAATTATTCTCTAAAGTACAATACTTAAGATTAATTGATTAGATTAGTATTAAATAAATTTAAATCTACTGTATTTATACGTGTAATGATTAAACCGTATCCTAAACTGTATCACTTTAGGACCTAAAGTGTTTGCATGAATTCAATGACAAACCTTTTGAAATAACTATAAATAAAGAAATACAATATAAAATGCATTACAATTCACACGAATCGACAAAATTTATCACAATATAAAATGAAATACTTCTCAATTGTATTCGTTGCCAGTCTTTGCATTGGTTTAACATTAGGCAAGAATTAACTAAATTATTTCTTATTGATTGAAGTTTTTATAAATTAAACTAAATTAAACTTACTTTCAGTGGAGAGCCGTAAAGAGTGTATCGCACGCGAGGGCTTAGACACAGCATATTGTGTTTGTAATATCACTCATTGCGATGAATTGGATCCAGTGGTGAGACAACCGGCGGGAAAAGTGCTGGTCTTTGAGACTAACAAAAGGGGTGATCGACTCAAACAACGGGAACTCAAAGTTTCGCAACAAAACACACAGACATCTGAAGACAGTATTGTTTTAACAATTGATAAAAATACAAAATATCAGAAAATCATTGGTTTTGGAGCCGCTTTCACTGACGCGAGTGGTCTTAATCTGAAGACATTGTCGCCAGAGTTGGCCCAACAGGTGATCAATGACTACTTCTCGGCCAATGGTATTGAGATGAGTATGGGTCGGGTGCCGATCGCCGGCGCCGACTTCAGTCCGCGTCCGTACACTTATAACGACCAAAAGGACGACTTCGAGCTCAAGTCATTTCAACTACAGAAAGAGGACTTTGATTACAAAGTAAGTCAATTATCATCATTTACTTCATGAGATAACGTAATCATGTTTTTTGACCATATTGTAGATTCCGTATATTAAATTAGCCAGAAGTGTGAGTCCACACAAACTAACCCTATTTGCCAGCCCATGGGCTGCGCCCGCGTGGATGAAAACCAGCGGTCATATCAATATGGGTGGTTTTATTATCGGCAAACCTGGTGAAAAGTATTACAAAACGTGGGCTAATTATTTTGTTAAGTAAGTGATTGATTGTCACAATTAAATATACGTTCAAATTCTACTATTTAAAAAATGTATTAGATTTTTAGACGCGTACAAATCAAATGGTATTGAGTTCTGGGGTCTGACCGTTGAGAACGAACCGGCGGCCGGATATCAACCGAAATATGGGTTCAATTGTTTGGGCTTTAATTCAACACTAGAGCGGGATTTTGTGAAACTAGATTTGGGTCCAGCACTGAGTCGGGGCGGGTATGGGAGCGATAAACTCAATCTTATGGTATACGACGACGGGTTATATAAGGACCGAATTGTCGATTGGGCCGACACTTGCCTTAATGATAAGGACACCGCTAAATATATTAATGGTATTATTACTCGATATACAGTACAGTATGTTATATGTTTCGGACTGGGACATTTTACATTGATAATTGAAATTATGTGAACCCCCTTTCCGACCCTAAACCACTAGGCTATCTATTACACACAATACATGTAGTTTATAATACTTTACTATTTAAATCGATAATGACATGATTGCATTTGTAGGCATTGCTTATCACTGTTATGGCAACAATGGTCTGTGGCCTGTATTAGACATAGTTCATGAACGCCACCCTGATCATTTTGTTATATCCAGCGAATGTTGCCAGGAGTTTAAGATATATCCGCCCGGGACTGTCATGAATATAAGTGTTTGGTCCCATTCAGAGACATACGCCAGAGATATCATGAATGTAAGTGTTTATACAACTTATTTATAACTAATTTTATACATTTAATTATAATTTCAATCATCCCTGTTATTAACAGAATTTAATTCATTGGACTCGTGGTTGGGTTGAGTGGAATCTAGTGCTCGATATGTATGGTCAGCCAAATTGGGCTAAATTCTCGTCTGAGGCCCCGATTCTGGTCAACTCTACGGCTAAAGAGTATTATAAAGACTCGAAATTCTATATTTTGGGTCAATTCTCCAAATTCTTATCACCAGATTCTGTGAGGGTTTCACTAAAAGAGGATAAAACTGTCAATAATTTCCAATCCGTGGCTTTTGTCAGACCCGACGGCGCGACTGTTGTTATCGTCACTAATCTAAGGGATAATCCGACAAATATTGTCATTAAAGACCAAAGTGTGGGACAAATCAACACTAGAATAGAGGCCCGTTCTGTACAGACATATATTTACTGGAATTAAACTCAAATTCATTTAATTATGTTTGAAAAATAAATTTCAAAATGTTGTCACATATTGTGAACAACTTTTTTAATTATAAGTTTTTTTGTCATTCAAATGTTGAAATAATTATTTTAATTTTGTGTACATTTTTTGCTACCAATTACTGCACTGACAGTGAATTGAAGGCAAAAGAGAGGCTGCGATGTTGTGTCGCATCTCTCGCTCCCCTTCAGTGCCTATTATATTGTGTTTAAATTTAGCACTCATTCAGTGATCAATGATTGCATTGAATGTAAAGTGAATGACAATAATAATGATAAAAGTGTTAACTCACTCTTAAATACACGTTTTGACTGTATTAACAGTTAACAGGTTTTCACATCATTTCTTACATTGCATTGACGTAAACCTGTTTGAGTATCACTTGATTGGTTGCCAACACATGCCATGAAGTGATGTAATCATTGTTTTCAGTCTTTGTTTTGACAGACATTTAATTCATTCAACACTTGTTTTCATTGATTTTAAATACAATTAATTAATAAAATGTTTAATTTGTTTAATATTTTAATAATTGAATAAATATATAGTTTTTGTGTCAAAAATGAGTAGAAGTGCAGTCATTTCATAGACTATTGTCTCATAAAGTGATCCAAAAATGTATACAAGAAGTAGTCGTGTCCTCAGAAGTGGCGTTAAGAGGAAGCAGTCTTTCGACAGATTTGGTGACGATTTGTGTCAACAGTTATTGTCTTATTTGTCACTCGAAGAGCGGTTCCGATACGAGTCTGTGTGCAAAGAGTGGCAGAAAGTGGTATATAAAACACAAACAGAGCTAATCGTTAACAACACAATCGGTTGGAAAATTGCGAAACGAAAGACACTTAAATGTGTGCTAAAAAAGTTGCCAAATATCACAAGAATAGCATTTTATGGCAATAACTATATTATGGACACAATTACAAGATATTGCCGTCGATTGACTGACATTGGGATTAGTTTTACTGGCGATCTAAACGCTCAAACATTGGACGCATTTTTCGCAAAGTTTGCCAAACAATTGAAAACGATTCGTATATTTCCCTTTTGTAGCGCTCCTCAAGACTACGGCCACTCATTTGCAGCGAACCTGAAGTTATGCACAAATGTGCAGCAATTGATTGCGTTTAAGCACTATTACCCACACTTTGTGGGTATTGGCAATGGAAATGTAGTTGTATTTCGTAAAATACGCACATTTTCATTCCGATATTACCCCTATGGAAATACTATTCCACATTATAATGAGTTTATAAAGTTTGTGGAAAATAACAAAAATAGTTTGCAATCATTTAATGTGACTATTTTTTGGAGTTTTGGTGAATTAGAAATCGATAGACTATTTGCAAATGTATTAAAAATGCGTGAATTAATTGAATTGACAATTGGTTTGAAATTCCCTCACAAACCCATAACAACCGATCAATTGATACAAATCGCTATTAAATGTCCGAAACTCAGGAAACTTTCGCTTCATTTGTATTTTGAAACAAACGGAATGTGCGATCAATTGATGGCAACAATTAATGAAAACTTCAAGCATTTAAAACGTCTCACAATTATCGGCGGATTTCCCTTTGAGTTTGCATTGAAAAGTGATGCTTTGATTTCATGCAAACGATTAACACATTTATCTGATATACCCATAAATGAGATGTTTTTCAATGATTTCACACAATATTATCCAAAACTTCAATCAATTAATTGTAAAGTTTTGCCCAAAATTACTGATAATGTGTTGAATTCATTGACAAAATCACCACAAATACAGACCATTCATCTCAACGGCATTGAAGACTTCAAACAAACAACTGTTGAGAATCTCATTAAAAATTGTCCCAAAATTACTGAGTTTTCAATTAATGACAAAATTTATTGCGGATAATTGTTAACTACAGTTGTCTATAATTGTTATCAAATTCTGCACTATATTTAAGTATTTCTAATGTTTAAAATATTTTTATTCTAATAATTAAAATTATACCGGTATTAATTATTTTTATAATACAGTATTTTTAATTATTAACTAAATAGTTACTAAAACTTAACCTTTTTTGCATTAAATTTTGTGCTAAACTTTACTTTAGCACAAAATTATTCCGACTTATTCATTGATTATTTTAAATTATAGTCTATAATAATTGTTTTAATTGTATGTAAATTGTATTTAATAACACTTCATTAAAAACTACTTTATATTCATATTAATTGCTTTAAATTTTGCGCTTATTTGTAGAGCCAATGATTGCATTGAATGTTGCAGTGAATGACAATAATAATGATAAGAGTGTTAACTGAGTGTTGAATACAGGCTTTGACTGTATTAACAGTTATAGCATTTATTAATTCAACACAAATTGCGTTTCAATTGGTTGAGACATTTAAGGCTTAATTCAAACCTTTCATATTAATACCTTTACTGCGCTTAAAGTTACAATAATTAGTGTTTGGTTTTAATGTTTGTATTTATTTCACACATGTTTTCACTTTAAATATAGTTTTGTTATTAAAACCAAATTAAATATCATTTAGTTTTGTGTGAAAAATGACTACAATTTGACGATTGGTTTGAAATGTTTGGTAATTATGAATGCAATCAACGCTTACATCAAATCATGTGTTCATTTGTTTCAGTCATTCATTGAAATAGACTTTTGTCTCATAAAGTGATCCAAAAATGACCGCAAGAAGTAGTCGTGTCCTCAGGAGTGACGCAATGAAGAGACAGTCTTTTGACAGATTTGGTGATGACTTGTGTGGACACATATTGTCTTATCTGCCATTCTCTGAGCGGTTCCGATACTCCTCTGTGTGCAAACAGTGGCAGAGATTGATATACGAGACACAAACAGAGCTAATCGTTAGGCAGACGTATGACCACAACATAGATATCAATAGTTTTGAATGTGTGTTAAAACGGTTGCCAAATATTACGAAAATTAAATTTTATGGCAATAACAGTACGTTTGAGACAATCACAAGACATTGCCATCGATTGGTATACTTCGAGATAGACTTTGACTGTTATGTCAAACCACAACTATTGGAGGCTTTTATCGCAAAGTTTGGCAAACAATTGAAATCAATTCGTGTTTACATTTCACAAAGAAATCATACAATTCTGTGGCAATCATTTGAAGCAAATGTCAAGTTTTGCATAAATTTACAGCAATTAGAGGTCTATAAGAAGGAATCGATGCACTTATTGTGTGTTAGGGATGGAAATGATTTACATTTTCGTAAATTACGCAAAGTTTACTTCAATTATTATAACGGAGGCGAAGTATGGGTCAAACAATTTGCGGAATTATATAAAAACAGTTTGCAATCAATTGAAGTGATTGTTATTTATTGTTGTCGAGAATTGTCTGTCACTCCACTATTGGATAGTTTGTCACAAATGCGTGAATTAACTGAATTAAAGTACTCTATGTTAACCGTCAGTTATTTCTATCCCAATTTAATCACACAATTGAAACAAATTGGTATTAATTGCCAGAAATTGAAAAAATTATCGCTTTGTTTGTCAATCTTTTGGAGCGATGAATACAATGAAAACAATAGTTACGATGCAAAGGATACTTGCGATCAATTGTTTGCGACAATTAATCAATACTTCAAACAATTAAAACGACTGCAATTTGAAGGCAGTCTTCACAATGACTTTTCATTGAATGGCCAAACATTGTGTGAATGCAAACAATTAACACATTTATCGCAACATTTACCGATCAATGAATCGTTTTTCGTGAATATTGATAAACAATTTCCAAACCTTCAACACATAGACTGCGAAGTTTTGCCCAAAATTACTGATAATGTGTTGAATTCATTGACAAAATTACCACAAATACAGACCATTCATCTCAACGGCAAAGTAGACTATAAACAAAGTTCTGTTGAAAATCTCGTTAAAATGTGTCCAAAAATAAGAAGTATTTCAATTAAAAATTTTAATTATGAGCATTATGTACCATGCTAGGTACTATAATATTTGTGTACATTAATAGATTTTTAAAATATAATATTGTTTACTTTACTTTGAATAAATATTGTAATTGAAATGCAATATTATGTTACAATTTAATACAAATAAAATAATTTTTTCAGCAAATTAAATCAATGCTTCATAACATTAATAAAAAATAATGTTATAAACAGTTTAATCCTTTCCCTATATTATTAAAATTACACTTGAATGTATTTTGTTCCCGCGTCTCTCTGATTGGCTGCCTCTGTCTCTCTCGCTGACGTCAAACGCGTCATTCAGTCTCTATTTCTCTCACTTACAAACTACACATGATAAAATATACAGTATACAATACAATTGATACAGTTATTTATTATATGTACGCTAATGAGTGAGTGAGTGAGTGAGTGAGTGAGTGAGTGAGTGTGTGTGTGTGTGTGTGTGTGTGTGTGTGTGTGTGTGTGTGTGTGATTTGAATAAATATTGTAATTGAAATGCAATATTATGTTACAATTTAATACAAATAAAATAATTTTTTCAGCAAATTAAATCAATGCTTCATAACATTAATAAAAAATAATGTTATAAACAGTTTAATTGACAATTAAATACACCCTTTTATTGGACAAAAAGTTACTTTGTTTTCAATAGTGACGTAATCCTTATTTTCAATGTGTTTATCATTTTTGCGAAATTTTTTGTAAACATATTTTTGTAATAATTTTCCACTTGTTTTGTATATTTAAAACTATTTCTACACTAAAATACGAATAATATTCAAATAAAAGTATAAATATTTTGATTACTCTAAAACATTTATATCATTAATGTTTAATTCAAACACTGTTTAGAAAAATAGTTTTTCTTTCAAAAGTTACAGAAGTTATCAAACAAATGGACACAAAGTTAATGAAAGACTCTTTCGACAGATTTGGTGATGATTTGTGTCAACTATTGTTGTCTTATCTGTCACTCGAAGAGCGGTTCCGATACGAAGAGGTGTGTA